TAGTATTATGTCGATCTTGAATTAATATCTTGCAATAATGAGTTGTCATCAAACTTGACATCGTAGCCAAGCCGTGGTGGGAATAGTTGATCCACGAGTATGGAAGATACCTAGTATACCGTGCATTTATGTCCCTATAAATATCTCGACCATGGCGAAGTAAGCATCGTATGCATTCGTTCAAGCAGCGATATCCGTAGCATTCTGAATTGATGTAAACAAATATTAATCTTGGGATCATGGTGACCTCTTCTTGCTCAATAAACTGGATTCAATATGCCATTGGCATTAATCATTGCTAGTATGAAATATTCTGCATTCCCACTACCAACAAGAACTGTTCAGTGGAGTGGTTGCGAAGTAGTGGTATAGTAGTACTAGTACTGATATATAGTAAGGGTTGAAGTCTGCACCTACCCGCGTTAATATATAACGGGTGTGGAGAAATAATCAACCATTAATATGAAATTTATAAGAATGAACACATTGATTATATCATATAACTTGTCAGAACTATGATACATATAACTTGCACACTACAAACAACGATCCAATGAGATTATGGTGAAGTGTCAAGACTTGATCATAGAACCTGCAGAAAAGAAGCCAACAGTCTTCGACGATATCCCTTATTTCACGAGTACTCTATAAACATAAATACTCCTCAATACCCAATATTCATCACCACCAAATCAAGCAGTCACTACCAAATACCTAACTATAGTGCTCCCCCAGACCCCCACACGAGGCATTTATCTCACCCACCCATTCCCGATATATACTTAAGGACGGAGTACAGTAACCCCAATAATTCTCCTGCACATCATTATCACCAACCAATAAATAACAAATACTTTCCCACACCAACCAACCACCCACTCCCCATCCCTGAAAAGTTCGTCCCGTTTCATGCAAGGGGAGATGATCCTGAACAAGCTTTGACTCGACAAGGCTTGTTGGGACTTGGCTTTGGTCTGTTCGTTCGTACTTACATTGATTCTGGACCCCCGGTCTCTGAGGAGGTTTACTGTATATGACTGAATTTCTGTCTGTGGGGTTTCTTTCGCTATGAGAGTGGTGGGTGTATCGTTGCACGGGGTTATACACTATCCAACTATCTCTACGCGAAGATGTGAAAGCAGTGGTTAGTACTACGTATGTATATTTTGTGTCAAGAAGTACTACTATTACGTACTAACTCGCTTCTTTAATCACGTCAACTTTTACTTTCTAGATTTTCTCAGTAGAATTTTCTATAGCCAAGTTATATAAGTAGATACAATACACCAACAAATTTGACCGGTTCAACTAACAATAATTACTTACAGTAAAGAATGATGGGTGGATACGATGATCGATCAGATGATGGGGACTGCATTAGACGCAAGCCACAAATGATTGACCACACCGCCGGACTTGCAACCGGCTTTGGCTCACCGCTACTACCAGGTATGCATACACAACTTACAGATTAACTTACATTAATACATGATGCATACATTGACAATCTATCTAATTTGCTTTCTTTCAAAAACCGGTTCATTGTAACTTACAGAGTATACCGAAAAGAGTGTTTCGGTGTCTGCTTCTGTCGTACAAATGCTTAGCGCTCTGTTGTTCGCTGCAGCTGAGTTGACGTAATCCCCGAGAAGGATTACTACCTGTCTAACTAACAGGCGTCTGCGTTGTCCCTGATGAAGAACGATCGGTCCACTGCGGATCAGGGCATTGAAGGAACGAACACACTCCACACCTAAGAATAGTCTTTCTTCATTGAGACATAGGGACCCGCTGTCTATCGTGTGAAGAACGCTGCAGAAATCAGCTCTATATACGCGCGAGGTGAAAATGGCAGAGCGAGTGACTCGACACAATCAGCCACAGAAAAGAACTAGGAAGCGGTAAGGAATATGCAAATGTATACAGGGTTGGACAAGACCCAGTGGGGGCAGTAAAAAAAAAAAAAAGCCGAATGAATGAAACAATAGTAATCTTTATAAAATTGGATGCTATAGTTTAGTGTCACTCTCGGACTGCTAAATAGAACACAGATAAATCAGGCATTTATCATCATCTCTCATCAAGGTCATGAAGACGTGGGTGTCGTCACTCAGACGGTGTGGAGGTGGTGGTAAGGTGCCGCGAACAGACCACAACACTATGTAGCAAGCCGCGTCTCATCCAAAAGCCAGCCTTACTGCACCCATGGCGGCACGTAGAAATTGCCATTGCTGTTTTCGCTCATGGGGGCAGTATTGGGGTCGAAGAGCCCCACGTTCCAAGCGGCTTCGGTCGGAGGCGTGGTCATCGACATGCTGGCAGTCGGTGTAGTCACCGGCTTGAAAGTCTCAGCATTCGACATGGCGAAGGCGTCCTCGGTGGGAAGTTGCTTGGCTTCCATGCCCATCGTGGCCTGGAGCTGATGCTCTAACGCCGCGGTGGACTCGTTGGCCGACTTGAGGAAGTCGTCAATGTCAATCGACTCAAGGTTATTCGATGCCAAGAGCTGTGCCTGAGGAAGGCCAATGAAGGACGACGCCGAGCTGATGCGGAAATGGTCGATATCGGAGCCCTCGCTAACGCTGTTGAGATCGTGCAGATCGCTGCCAGTACGTCCCAAGCCAGGGATCGGCGCGAACTCATCCGCTTCAGAGATGTCACCGGATGATGATGGGGCTGGGAACCCGGGTGCCATAGAGTTGTAATCGAAGCTTGCGTAGGAAGGTGCTTGAGTGCTTGTCGCGGCTGGTACTTCCGAGGAGTACAGAGGGAAGCTTGACCAATCGACTGGAGGGGCGCTGAATGCGGTCGACTGAAGAGACACGTCGCCCTCCGGTGAGGTGAAGAAAGGCTCCTTGTAGGGGTCCTGAAATGCGACACAATTGACAGGCGACGTCGCTGTTGTTGGGAAGGATGAGAATGATGACATGTCGAAGGGTAACCCCGACGTGACCAGTGGGTCCAGAGGGGTCTTCATAGGCATCGAGACCGGCTCGGGAACGCCAACGTCACCAGCGTTCTCCGCTGTCTGAACTTGAGGGAAAAAGGACGAGATGTCGAGTGGGGGAACGGTTGTCGGGACGTTGTCCGGCGAGACGACGGGGGCACTCTCAGGAGAACCATGTTCAGACTTGACACGGCGATGTTGTCCGCGCGAAGGTGACTGTTCTGCGGGCTGTTGTTGATTCGCGAAACCCTCGTTGAGCATGGTGGGCTGGACCAAAGGCAGGTGGTCGACCGAGCGGCGGGCCACATCGCCAGCATGGATGGTATGAGAACGGGGTATCGTATAGGGCAGACCGCATTTATGAGCCATGTCGTTGTGCTTATGAGCCGGCTTGTGGTGGCCATCGCGGAAGATGGTCAAGGTACTCTCCGATTTGGTCGAGGTCAGCTGCGGCTTCTTGGGCTGATCCAACAGCGTCGCAGCTGGGGGTGGAGGGAGGCCGGTCTCCGGAACGGTATCCAGGTGGGGTTCCTTCTTCAGCGCACAGGTACAGCGCTGACCATGAGTGCAGCCACATTTTGGACGGGAGTCCTCTGTAAAATCCAGATCAGAAAACTATGAACCAGTTCACCATCACCATCATGCTCACGCTTGTGATCCCGCTTATCCGTAGCATGGGGATCTAAGTCATTCTTGTGGCAATTCTTTTTCTTGTCACCACACTCGCACTTAGTGTGGGTTGTCCGTGACTTGCGTAGGCCGCGACAGTGAGCGCATTGGGAGACAGGACGGCCTTTTTTGTTAATGTGGGTCAAGGGGCGGTCTGCAGCCAAGCCACGTTAGCAATTGCGACGGGAAGAAGATGTGATGCGTCAGAGATGGTTGCCACACTTACCACTGTGGTGACAGCTGCTGACACGGTGACCCCGGACGCAAGCTTCACAAGCCCACTTCTCGCCATCGATAAGCATCGCCGCGGTTACTGAGAAAGGAACATGCGACGATTCGCGACGGTATATAGATCAAAAGGGTATAAGTGAACAGAGTGGGGGCCAAGAAGTCGCACGCTTCTCCGCCTAGTTTTGGTCTTTTATATAAGGTTGTTTTGTATGAGGATAGTAGCCGAACAGGAAAACCTGCCGGAGGAAAACGAAGAGGCCGTCAAGGCGAGAAATTCGGGGTATAGGTGGTGTGGTCCGTCGCAAAGATCGGACCAGCAGAAACCAAGGCAAACTCCAACAAAGCAAGGGTATCACCAGCTTGAATATCCCAATGCACCGAACGAGGTCACAGAAACGCCGTTTCACCTGTAAGAGGGTCGAATCGCAACTGAGATCGGGAAGGTCGATTAGGCTGCCGGGTACGATTTGGCAGCCCCGATAGAAGAAGCCCGGGGAAGGGAGTATAGTAGTATAGAAAGGCGAGAGAACAAAGAAGCGGGTAGGCGAGTTGTTCACACAATGGCAACACCCAGGTACCAGGGGCGGGATGGGCAGTTCGAACCGGAACGAGAAAAGCCCAACAGGCACATACACAAAAACCCAAAGGAATCAGGAGAAGAGGATTTGAAGGGAATGGGGGGGCCAAAGCCTACGCACCGTTTGGCGCCGGCCGTGAGACAGGACACCAAATACCGGCTGTGGCGGCCAAGATAAAAGAGAAAAAGCGATCGATCTCGAGGCAGAGTTGCAGAAGTAACCCTGTGGAAAAGAGAAAAAGGGAAAAAAAGAGGAAGAGAAGGGGGGGAGAAAGGCGGGAGGGGAGCGGGAAGAAGTAGTCGCAGTTCAGTCCGGTCGCTTTGGGTTTCGGCGAGAGGGTCAGAGGGGGGCGGCGAAGTGGAAGGAAAGTGGAACAACTCGGCGCCCGCAAGGAGATTTGCGTGACACCTCTGGTCTCTCTGCCTGCCCGGAGTGAGTATTCAATACTTGTTCGTTTCATTTCATTTCATTTCT